CTTAAGATTGACCATCAGCAGACAGGAGGAAACCCACCCCAAAAAAGCCCACCCCCAAAAAAAAAACGCATTATTTGAGCCGGTCATTTTTTTGGTCCCGGCCTGAATAAGGAAAAAAACGCATTAAAGAGGCCCATGTTATTAAACGGGCCGCCACATTAATCAATATTCTGATTCTATAATAATACAGTAAGCCCCCAAAGTAGCAGCCCTTGTGTTGGGTATGGTACCCCTTGAAAGTGCCTCGGGGCATCGAGGTGGTTTAATCCGAGATGGTTCCGAGATCTGTGCTCTCATGTCGCAGGGGTCCCTCTGAAGTCCGATGGCTGTGTTACAGTAGACCGTAGGAAGCCACAAAAAGCAAGCGTGGCGTAAGGGCACTTTCGTGCTGCGATTCACCTGTAGTCTGCTACCTTGCAGGAGGATAGTGATATTCCAACTTTCTCGCTTCTGCTCTCCAGACCAGCCATGGAACCTAGAGGGCACATTTAGGGGCCTTACTAACTTTCAATAGAATTTTTCTCAGGCTGGTTCCTGGTTATGCTTCTGGTAGAATACAGGCCCAAACCTTCTTCTACTAGTAATGCGGTTAAGGCCTCTTCACACCTCTATGTCACGAGCAGGTCGCTTCACAGTTCAGCTCTTTGACATGGCTTCTGGCCGCTGGGAGTTGGTGGAAGTGGACGATTTCGTGCCCTGCACCATGGAGGAGTGTAGCATCAGAGACTTCCAAGATTCCTATTCTAAATTACAAAGGCACCTATATGCTCCCTCAGTAAAGCTCTTGTATGTATTCGTAGTCCCCCCAAACCATCATAGACCCCCCAAGCTATTTCAAACTACAGTTACCCCATATAAACTCCCCTAGTAGAAACGTTAACCATCTTGCAATGCATTGCAACGAAAGGACGACTGGTCCGATGTTCCCTACGAGGAGCAGGTGGGGGAAGAGACAGAGAGCACATGCTTTAGTACCTTCGGAATGTGGTGATGAGGGCATGGCCGGAAGTTCACGCGTAGTTATCAACCAAACGGGTTTTTCACGGCGGCCACAGGCTGATGGGACGAGGGTCTACAACTACAAAGACGTCTACACAGAGCTTCTTGGCCCGGGGCGTTGGCATGGAAGAGGTAGAGCATTCGACAATTAGGGAAGCAGAGAAGCAGAGCTGGGTACGCTTGGGTCACTTGGGGGGAGGTTCATGATGTGACGCAAAAAAACCTGCAGCATACCGCATCATAGCTGAGCCGTGATAAATGATAAAACATATGCTCTATATAGATAGATAGATAGATAGATAGATAGACAGACAGACAGACAGACAGACAGATAGATGTAGTGTGTATACATACATACATACATACATACATACATACATACATAGATATATATATACATACATACATACATACATACATACATACATGCATAATGCGCCCTTGAAGATGGCACAGCAGAGAGAGAGAGGGTAATGTGTGTATATATATATACACACACACACACATACATAGAGAGAGACGGGTTGCCAGCTTCAGAAGCTTTTGCGAAACGAGGAGAGCAGTCAGTTTGGGCCGGACTTCTGCATTTGCTTACCGCATTCTCTAGCAGCAGCCCCCGAACCAACCCACGTAGCATACACAAGCCGGCGCAGGCTTCCTCATCCCTCCCTGGCCCTCCCTCTCGGATTTGCATCTCGGTTTGGGAAGGGCTGTAGCAAATACATATATAATATATACTATATAATATAAAATATATAACTTAGAATAGATAGAAAATTGTATGATATATTATAGGCCCCAAGCCCCTGAAACCCTCGTCTTGGCGGCCCTGTAGCCTTCAAGGAGTGGCGCCAAGCGCCTCCGAAAGAAGTGGGTGC